TATATATATATATATATATATACATATAGTAATTTCTCTAGTTCTGAAATATAACTGATATTTTTTTCATATTCTCCTTATCTTTCTATTTTAATGACCATGACATCTTAAATAAGGGAAATTCTGTGGATGCTTATGTGAAGTTGGCCATGCTTATTCATAGAGATAAATTGAGTTGTAAATAGGAAATTGTATTGAGAGTTACCAGTAATGAGAGGGGGAAAAAGGATATTACATTTTGGCTACAGGTGTCTCAAACTCAACTGAGGTAAAGTGTTAGGAAGATCAAATGATATGATAATAAATGGTCTGCATAGTTCCAGGTCAGTGACACTACTTTCCAAACTAATTAGATTGAAAGGGACATGATTGACACTTTAAAATGAGTTTGACATGTACGCCGTATGGTCATCTCTGAAGCATAGGTAGGCTGTTAACTAAACGGATTCTCCAAGGAGTTAGGAAGGCAATGCAATTTTCTTTAGAGTATCTTCGCTTCTAGGTGATTGGGTGAAATAATTGAATGTAATTGAAATCTACTTGTTTTATACATCTGAATTTACTTACTAGGACTCAAATCTCTTATTTTCCATTTGATATTGACTTAAAGAATGGCAACATTTGCATGTTGATTCAATTTGAAATAACGGAGTTTTTAGAAAATTTCGTATTTGCTTATTTTTAATAACAATGTCTGAATTGCTTTCTAATGGGAGAATACAGCTTCCTAAGTAACATATGAAGCAGAAAACCAATAAATGGTATATGAGTGAAGTAGAGTTCTCCCCGCCCTCTCCTCCCTTCTCCTCTTCTCCCCTTCTCTCTCACTCTCTTACAGCCAACCACAGAGATATGGATAGGGGAAGTCCCTCTTAATCCTGCTCTTATCACAAAATCTGTTGCACATTGGACTGGTGGCATGAGTACTATGAGACACAAAGGGACGTGTCTAAATATATTACAAAATGTCCTACCCAGAGCTTCACTGTTAGGTTATAGAATTTAGCCAATCGCAGGTTCCTTTTACTGTAGTTGCTTGGATCTAGATGAAAATTCCATTGTCCTAATTCAGATGTTCTCAAAACTAGGTTCTCTTCATGCTTTTTGATACTGTTTAAGGTTGCACCCTGAAGTGCTGTTTCTTCTGATTGCCAGTTTTGAAGTTTACTTTATTCTTTAGCAATGTGCTATAGTTAAATGACAAAAAAACCTGTGTGCCTGGTTGATGGCAAATTAAAAGGAAAACGTTCGCACCTCTACTACCAGCTAGCTGAGGGAGTTGGACTTTTCTGGGACTGCTTTTTTTTTTCTTTTTTTGTGAGGGCATCTCTCTTATTTATTGATCGAATGGTTGTTAACAACAATAAAATTCTGTATAGGGAAGTCAATGCTCAATGTACAATCATTAATCCACCCCAAGCCTAATTTTCGTCAGTCTCCAGTCTTCTGAAGCATAACGAACAAGTTCTTACATGGAGAACAAATTCTTACATAGTGAATAAGTTACATGGTGAACAGTACAAGGGCAGTCATCACAGAAACTTTCGGTTTTGATCATGCATTATGAACTATAAACAATCAGTCCAAATATGAATATTC